TTTCCAACCCTGTTGATTCTATGATTGTATGAAGGCTGAGGTGATTTTGGTTTTAAGAGTGGGAAACTTTACTAAGGAAAGACTTATTTTTTACCTAACAGTCATCTTTGAGGTCTTTCAGTACTTAGGAGTGATTTTCCTGCCTTTCCTGTGTCAAAGGCTGTTGCTTTAAACATCTTGTCCTATTTCCATACATTAAGAGAACCTTTGGATGTCTCTGTAAAATTAAGTTTTTTGAGGATTATCATTAGATTATAGTTAAACTGATAGAGCCAAATAGAAATTCATACTTAATTCCCTGAAAATCTCTACCTAATATAGCTGCAGTTAAACCCTTCTCCTTCCAAACCAGCAGCTTTATTGGAATGAGCTGAATATACCCTTGGAAGTGCTTCCCCCACACGTGGAAAAGATTTAAACCCCAGGGATTGGGGACCTCCATTTCCTTAAACTCACTAGAAAATAATTCCTTTTTGTGTTTGACTGCAACCATGAATATTTGATCCTTGTTTTTTCATTTGTACTGGATTTTTTTCCCTGCTAGTAGTATGGTGTAGCTGCCTTGTTCCTCCTCTTCAATGGACTCTGATCCTACGTCTGTGACGTCCCAGTGAATTCCATGGTAACAGTCAAGAACACCATATTGTGGCATGTCTGAATCATGCAGAAGGAATTTGATGAAAGGGGGAGGGTTTCTATTTAAACATATCTTGAAAATTGTAGTGCTGGGAAAAAAAACCCCTATGAAAACACTGTGGGATTTCAGGTTCTCAAGGCGTTTGTGCAGTAACGAGCAGGAAGGAGGTGGCTCAGCCCCTTTGCTGGCACTGGAACATCAGCTTTCCTTCTTTGAAATCCTGCTAAAAAGTGAATGTTCTTAAAAAGTGGGTAATTTGGTAGGTGTTTGTATTAGCTTCTAATTATACAGTGCCATTCCTGGGTGTTCTCTAACTGAGGGATTGGCTCTGGAGAGCTGTTAGCACTGCAGAGGATGAAAGGGAAATCTTGGCACGGTGGAAGATGCACTGACAACGTGTATTTTTGTGCCATCTTCTGGAAAAAAAGGAGAGGGCTCCAAGAACCTGTGTGCATTACACCCTTTGTGCTGTTGCTTCCTCTCTGCACCCTGAAGCTTCCAGACTTGTTTAAAGATACCATAATTTATTTGGGGAGAATCAGGATTTATCTCTCTGCTCCCAATGCATCCATCCAAAGCTCCCAGCAGGTTTGTTCTCTCTTTGTTCATGCTGCAATCTTTTCTTTGCAGGGTGTTTTCTGCTTACATTAAGGAAGTGGATGAAAACCCAGCCAGTACCCCCTGGGGCTCCAAGATGCCTTTTGGGCAGCTGATGTCAGAGTTTGGGGGTGCAGGGAGTGGGGGGTGGGTGCACAGCGTCAGCTTCTCCGCCAGCGGCAACCGCCTCGCCTGGGTCAGCCACGACAGCACTGTCTCGGTTGCTGATGCCTCCAAAAACATGATGTAAGTATCCCCTTGCTGTCAGCCATTGCCTGTTGGACTTGATGATCTCAAAGGTCTTTCCCAGCCATAAGGATTCCAGGATTCTGTGTGGAATCCTTATCTCATTGTGCTTGCAGCAGTGAGAGCTGTGACTGCTGTTGCCTGTTTTGGTGGTTTTACTGTCGATTCCAGGAGTCTCTTTGAGGTTTATAAAGGTTGATTCTTTGGATTTTAGATCATATCCTTTAAATTCTTTATAAGAATTCCTCGGGGAGGGCATAGCCCATATCCTTTAGGGGGAAAAAAGCATTTGGAAAAACTATGTTCTACTCCAGTGATTGGGGAAACAGTATTTCCTTGCAAATGGACTCAAGAGAGTCCAGAAACATGCTCACTCCTTAGCTAGGACCCTGTCCCCAACCAGGATCTGGAAAATAAACTGTTCATTTCATGAAATACTAAGTCCAACCACTGTCCTTCAGACACACACAGTTTCAATTTGCACCTTCTAATCTGACAAAATGTGTTGTTAACAATTCCTCCTCCTGCTCCTCCTCCTGATGTGCATAACTTTGCAGTGCCCGTGGCTTTCCAACCACGAAGAAAGAGATTCTCCATATGTTTTGGTAGCAGAGGTCTCTGATGGACCATCCAGGCATTGCTGGGAATCGTTTGCAATTACAGCTCTGATGGCTGCAGCAGTGGAAGTACCTGGCAGGGATATCATCTAGTGTAGAGTGCTTCAGGATTATTTTCTCATTCATTATTGAATCACAAACCTTGACTTAATGGAACATCAAGGCATTTTCCTCCTGCAAAGATGTCAAGCATAAAAACTTCAAATGTTTTTTATATGCAAATTAAATTAGTATCTACATCAATTTGAACATTTTTGGGGATATTCCTTTTAAACTCTTCCTGCTGTTTACACTCAGTATTGGTAACTTCAGTCTTTTACCTGGAATACTTCATTTTGTTATAGATTTTCCAGGACACTTTCATTAGGTTAAAACTTAATTAGAACCTCCTGGTGTCACCATGGAACACCTGAGCTACTCTGACTTCTTTTGCTTGTGTGGGAATGGTCTCTATTTTTCGTTAGAGCCAAAAATGAGAATTCCTCTAACAGCTGTTCTTGTATTCAGGGTTTCTCAGCTGAAAACAGAGTTCCTCCCACTCCTGAGTGTGTCCTTTGTCTCCGAGAACAGTGTGGTGGCAGCTGTAAGTCTCTTCATTTTCTCCTTGTAGAGTGTTGTCGTGTTTGGGAGGGGCAGAAACACCACATTTCGCAGAGCTAGGAATAAACAAACTCTGCCACAGTGTCAGTCCTTGCATTTTGCATCACTTTAACAGCAGAAAATTGAAGTGCTGATGAAGTTGTGATTCCTGATGTGTTTTCATGTGTTTGGTGACAATGAGATTGTGATTCCTGATGTGTTTCCATGTGTTTGGTGGTGATGAAGTTGTGATTCCTGACGTATTTCCATGCGTTTGGTGATGAGGTGGTGATTCCTGACGTGTTTCCATGTGTTTGGTTGCAGGGCCATGATTGCTGCCCTATGCTCTTTAACTGTGATGACCGTGGCCTGCTGACCTTCGTTTCCAAACTAGACATTCCAAAACAGAGCATCCAGCGCAATATTTCCGCCATGGAACGCTTCCGGAACATGGATAAAAGAGCCACTACGGAAGATCGTAACACGACCCTGGAGACACTGCACCAAAACAGTATAACGTGAGTGTCCTGCCTGCCAGGGTGAGGGGAGGGAATGCTCGCCATGTCCCTTGGGTTTCCCAGGATGTTCTGCAAACCCGTGAGAGCTCAGATTTGCTGTTCCAGAAGGGTTGAGCTGGTATCTCCTATTCCTTGCAGTCTTTCCCTGCCTATTTCTGGGACTCACATGGATGCTGGATAAGTTAATCATTGCCATGGTGTCATGCAGAGCTGTTGTTCATGGTTCATGAGCTCTGTAACCTGAGCACAGCTTATCTTATCAAATATGTGGAAAGTTCACAAGAGGCTGGTAGGACTGTGCAAAATGTAGTCAGGAAAGTCCTCCTGAAATGGGAATTCACATCCCGACTGCCTGTTTCAGATGCTATTGCCATGTGTGTTTATTTGTTATGCATTACTCCTTTCCAGCTGAAAGAGGGGAAATGTAGGATATATATAGGGGAAAAATTCTTTCCTGTGAGGGTGCTGAGGCACTAGCACAAGTTACCCAGAGAAGCTGTGGCTGCTCCATCCCTGGAAGTGTTCCAGGCCAGGCTGGATGGGGCTTGGAGCAACCTGGGCTAGTGGAAAGTGTCCCTGCCCATGGCAGGGGGTGGGACTGGATGAGCTCTAAGGTCCCTTCCCACCCAAACCATTCCATGATTCTGTTGATCAGATGGATTGATTCAGGTTAATCAAGTGAAATGTCTTTGCATTTAAGAAGGAATGTGATCCCAGAGGATGCTGCCATGTCTGCAGCAGTTTGTCTTTAGTCAAGGAAAACATTTAGGCTGCAGCCACCAAGCCAGAAAAGAGCTTCCAACATCCTTTTCTCTGCGTATTTTTCTGAGGCATTTTACCAAAAATCTAGTGTAAGCTCTGGTACACTCGTGTCTCCCTCTGAGAGAGTAGGAGTAGAATTTAACCCAAATTTCCTAGCTTTCTGGCTCCCTGGAATGGTGTTAGAGCTCTCACTCTCTGTTTGCAGCCAAGTGTCTATTTATGAGATAGACAAACGGGATTGTCGGAAGTTCTGCACCACCGGCATCGATGGAGCAATGACCATCTGGGATTTCAAGGTACAAACATGCTTTTACTACTGTGTTGATGGGAACTAGGTGCAGTTATGGGTTTTTTTTGTCCTCTAGCATCAACTCCTGAGGCTTAGCCCCAAGACAGGTTTCATTAGCAGTAGGAAATCTGGACTGGAATGTTCAAGACTGTTCATGGACTCCAATAAGAAAAACAGATCCAAGAATCAGCACAAGTGCAGATGCACTTTGGTTAACAGATGGTGCTAATACAGACTTAATTTTTTAATGGAATTAATGTCCCTGGAGGAATCCCACTAATTCTGTCCTTCTCCAACCTCAGCCACAGTCGGGCTGGAATGTTCACTGGTAGGACACAGCCTGCTGCCTGTTCCTTTCCCATGCTTGGGGACTCTGCTCACTGTCCTGTTGCAGGACATGGTCCTGCCCTCTCAGAATTAACCAAAGTAGTAAGAAGTTGCCTCAAACAGCTGGAAAATCCAATATTGAAAATCCAAAAGGAGTGAGTAATGCCTGTGCTTGCTTTGCTGAGGCCTGGCCATCAGAGGTCTCTGCTGGTCTTCTCAAACTCTTGGGATCTGATTTAGGAAAAGAATTAATTTGTCTGTGTTCTGAGGTGCCAGACAGTTCTGGAGGAGACAAGAGCCAGGCAAGAAATTGGGGTGGTCTGTAAGCTGCTTTAGTGCAGATTCAGGTCTGTATCCCTGGTCTGTACATGCCTGAGCTGGGAATGAGTGACTGTTGTGGTCTGTGGCTCTTCAGTTAGGAAGAAATTCCTTACTTTAGGAAAAAACTCTTCCCTGTGAGGGTGGTGAGACACAGGCACAGGTTGTCCAGAGAAGCTGTGGCTGCCCCATCCCTGGAAGTGTTCAAGGCCAGGTTGGATGGGACTTGGAGCAACCTGGTCTAGTGGAAGGTGTCCCTGCCTAGGGCAGGGGGTGGAATGAAAAGAACTATAAGGTCTTTCCAACCCAAACCAGTCTGTGATCCGTGAATATGAGTCTAATCTCAAGCATTTGAGGTTTTTACTTGGTTTTTCTTAGCATTTGCACTGAATTATTTAACACAAGTTACTGCAGCAGATTGTGATTAAGATATTTCTCTCTTTCAAGACCTTAGAGTCCTCCATTCAAGGTCTACGAATCATGTAGAGATGGATTTCCCTGATCTAGCAGGACAAACTGCTTGACAGAATGCAGCTCCCACACCTGCACAAACCTGAAAAGGGAGGAGGAAGGTGGAATATTTGGAAACACTGAGAAAATACAGCTTGGCAGATTTTCTTTTGAATCTAAATTTGGTGAATTGTGTTGGTTTCAAAATCAGCTGTGATTGTTCTTTTATTTTTTTCCGGTTGGTTGTTTCATTCCATTCTCTACCAAAGCTGCTCCTTAAGTAGTTTATTGCAGGAAGTTATGAATCACTAACTTAAAAGGGGAATTTTATGTAAATTGTCTGCTAGAAATAATAATAATAAAAAAGAGAAAAACTGATGCTTTGTTTTGATGCTCATTATCAGGGAGTACAAAAGGGATGTTAAGGGAATTGTTAAAGGGATGTTAATTGGGGGAGAGAGAGAGGGAAAACCCTGCAATGAGATTTTATGGCCTTAAAACAGGCAAAGTTCATCTTGACTGAAAGTTTCTCAAAGTTGACAGATGAAGACCTGAAGTTCTGATGATCTGGATGTGAAGAATCAGATGAGCTTCATGCAGGGGAATTGTTCCTTTGAGGTGATGATTTTGGAGGATAAACGACTTTATCCTACTACTCTTAACTTTGTCTGCCTTGCATTTAATCCAGGAACAACAGCAAATTAGCCTGAATGTCTTTTCTTATTGTCTGCTCAGTGGGCCACAGTTTTCCAAAACAGAATGACCAGAATCATTTGTAGTTACCTTTTGGGATTGGTACAAAACCTGCCCACACTGCAGTGCCTGGGGAAGGCTGAGTGTGGAAAGGGAGGGAAAAATGTGCTGAGCCACGTGTTGGGAAGACAAATTAAAAGACAGATCACTTCGTAAGTCTGTGGAGCTACACAGGCCTGGGAGTGGAGTCACCATCCCTGGAGGTGTTCAGGAAATGACTGGACATGGCCCTTAGTGCTCTGCTCTAGCTGACAGGGTGGAGATCAGTCAAAGGTTGGACTCAGTATCTTGGAGTTCGTTTCCAGCCTAAATGTGTCCCGTTAGAGCTGAGCACTCAGCCTATAAAATCCTGTGTTTGTAATGACTTGAAGCACTTCCCAGAGGTGTCAGTGTGCTCTGGCTTCTGTGCAGATCCTTTATCTCCAGGTACCTTCAGCTCTGAGCCTTGGGAGCTCACAGAGGCATTTACACATAACTTATTTTACCCACAGGGTCAATTTCCTCCTCTCTGGCTGTGTGGAGACTGAGGGCTGGCTGTGCTCTGAGGGGCTGAGGTGGCTCACAGCATTGCTTCACAGGGTTTAAGACTGTCATTTCTGTTGAAAATGCGGAAGTGTCTTAAAAAAACCCCAAGGACTAAATTTACCACTTCCTCTGGAACCAGAGTTGCTTTGTACCCTGCTTGTTTCTTAGCTTGGGGTGGCTGAAAGTGGAGGGTGCTAGATCAGCTCACAAAGTGACAAACTGCTCTTCTCCATCACAGAGCTGAATTGTCCCCAGGTGCAGTGCTGGGGTCACACTCTCCTCTCCTCTTAATAACACCCCAATTCCTACTGCAGAAGTTAGAAGTGACCTACCCTTCATTCCCATCCCTTCCTGGGAGGGATCTGATGTGCAAAGGTGAGCTGAGGGATGGTCTGTCCTGTGTCCTCCCATCCCACACAGATGCTGGTCATGGTGCAGGAGGCAGTGCTTGGATGCCTGGACCTTCCTGATGAAAAGCAGAGACAGAGCTGCTCAGAATCAAAGGAGGGATAGAGAAAACACAGAGGCAGAGTGGGATAAACTTCCCAAAGCCAGAGTTTTCTGCCATGTGGGAGCTGTTGTAGGAGCTGATTCTGTTTCACTGCCTTGAGGCTGGGGCATGGCTGGGCACTGCAATGGGCAAACTGCTGCCGGGGGCTGAGGCAGCTCACTGCTTCCCAGTGGGGCTTCTCCCACTGTGGAGATCACTCCTGACCAGCACCACAGAGACCCACCACCCTCCAGGGACATCACTGGATCCCACGTGTGTCTGCTGGGATCAATGCAACACCCACTGAGGGAAGCACAGCTAACGGATGAGGACCAGGAGAGATGAGCTGCCTGCTCTGTGCACCCACAGAGCCCTTACCTACAGCTGAGCCCTCACGTGGGGATTGATTCTGCAGCTCAGCAAACACCAGGTTAGCATATCCATGTCCTATGGCTGAGAAGAGACCCTGCCCTCCCTGCACTGAACCCCAGCGCGTCGCTGTCCTGCTGCAGTGTCACACAGGCAGGGATGGGTGAGTGCATTCCCCCAGCTGGAGAGGGAAGGGGTGAGTGCATAGAATCAACCAGGTTGGAAGAGACCTTAAAGATCATGGAGACCAACCCTAATCCCCCCACTCAGGGAGGGAAGGGGTGAGTGCACCCCTTGACTTGAGAAGGGAAGGGGTGAGTGCATCCTCTTACTCAGGGAGGGAAAAGCTAAGTTCATCCCCCCCTATTTGGGGAGGGAAAGGCTGAGTGCATCCCCCTGCTCAGGGAGGGGATGCATGAGCACATCCCTCCGTGCCTGACTGCAGCCAACTTGCAGCCAGGGAGCTCATTTCTCCTTCCCAGAACTTCCAGGAGGAGCTGAGCCCCTGGGAGTTACCCTGCCTGGCCAGAAATGGGCTACAAATTAGTTGCTCTGAAGCAGAAGGGAAAAAACCAGAAGGATGGGTGAGGGTGCAGGCACGGTGAGTGCAGCCAGCCTGGGCTCCGCGGGACGCAGGAACCAGCAGCAGCTGCTGCTCAGGGTAACAGATACCCTGGGTAACAGTAACCCTGCTCCGCAGGGTCCTGCGAGTCTCCCGGGCCGTGGGAGGCGATGCCGACGTGTCTCGCCCCGGGTGGGCTCCAGGCACGGCTGTTCCCTGCTGCGAGCCAGCCGCGGCAGGCAGGGTGTCCCCCCGGAATCCATCGGGGGGCAGGGGGTGAGCAGCACTCCCGCTGCCAGAGGGCGAGGACGGGGATCCTTCCCCCTCTCTCCCATCTCATCCTTGCCCGGTGGGAGCTGCGGAGCATCCCTGCGCGGCCGGGCCCGCA